TCATATATATATATAGTATATATAATATATATATATATATATACACAAAATATAATATATATATATATATATATATATATATATATATATATATATATATATATATATACATATACATATATTATAATAATATATATATATAATATATATATATATAAAAATATATAATAAATAATATAAATTAATATATATATATTATAACTATATGTATATGAAAAATAAAAAAAAAAAAAAAAAAAAAAAATATATATATATATATAATATATATGTATATATTTTATATTTATGTGTGTGTGTGTGCGTGTGTGCGTGTGTGCGTGTGTGGGTGTGTGGGTGTGGGTGCGTGCATGTGTGCGTGCGTGCGTGCGTGCATGCGTGCGTGTGTGTGTGTGTGTGTGTGTGTGTGTGTGTGTGTGTGTGTGTGAGAGTGTGTGTGTGTGTGTGTGTGTGTGTGTGTGTGTGTGTGTGTGTTGTGTGTGTGTGTGTGTGTGTTGTGTGTGTGCCTGTGTGCGTGCCTGTGTGCGTGCCTGTGTGCGTGCCTGTGTGCGTGCCTGTGTGTGTGTGTGTGTGTGTGAGTGTGTGCATGTGTGTGTTCATGCGTGCGTGTCTAAATAATATATACGCGTGGTTCTGAGCTTGTTTGTAAGCATCTATGTAAGTATATAAAGGATCATATAGTAAATCTCATATCGTGAAAATTAATACTAAAATGAAAAAGATGAAATGCTATGTATTCATACTCACTCTGCTGCTACTTTGTTGAGGACTTCCTTCACCATCCATTCCTTGTTCTCATCACTCATGCTAGGCAGCCACACTTCTAAAGAATCACAGGGATACAGGTCAACAGAGTCTGGTAAATGACAACCAGGAGGCAAGGGAAGTCTGACTCGTAAATTCCGTATTTTTTTCAGTTTCTTCAAAGAGCAACTCAGTGATTGTACAGCTTCGGGCTCAGACAACTTCACGCTGATATTGACTAGGTTTCCGAAATTAGGAAGAACCTGGCATCCTTCTTTGCATAGGCTGCCTACAAAGTGTGTTAGATTTCCCCAGGGCTTCAGGGCCATTAGATATTTGTCAGAGGTACCACTGTTCACTAGATTATAATGCTTATGAAATTTTAATTTGATGTATCCCTTAGGTTCCATTATGTCATTCATTGCCTCCAGGATCTGTGGGATATCATCAGGTTCTTGCTCAATATCCACCTCAATATCTTTCAGTTTTCTTGTCAAGTCATTGCTCATGAACCTAAGCCCACAGATAATATGTTCATCACTGAGGATCCATTTTTCTCTTTGTAACTGTTTTTTAACAATCAGTCTTCCAATTTCTTCATTATAGAGGCTCTCTGAATAGAATTCCCACCAGAATGTAAAATCATCTGTTTTGTACTTGAAACTACCAACAATGGTATTTATGATATCTTTATCCAATTGCTCATGAATTGCCAAATGACCAGTCAGATACAAAAGGACTTCTTGACAGTCTTGTGCTTGGGAGAAAATTTGTTTCGCTGTCTCATTCTTCTTCAGTATTTGATGACTTAGGTATACAGCAGCAAGATATTCCATCTGTGTCTTATGTAAGAACATAAAGACAAGGTCATCAACATCAGAATTGTAATTGGTTTCACACATCAGAAAGGCAGACAAAAGCTCCATATAATCCACTGACCGCTTTTTACATTCTGTTTTAATATATTCATACAGGTTATCAGTTAATAAATAATTTCCTTCCTTTAGCATCTTCCATGCAACATCACCAAGAAGTAATAACAAGGCATTTAACTTTCCATCAAGTTTTTTGTTTTTTCCAAGCTTGCACAGACGTTCTTTTAGCTTCTTCTGAAACAATTTAAATATTTCCAGATATAAGCGTGTTGATGTACTGATCTGATTTATAACTTCTGGATTGTCTCTCCAAAGGATTATGATAAAAGCAATGGTGAGTGGAAGTTGATAGTCTTCTAGGTGCTGCCTTGCTTTCACAATATGTTTCTTTTCATCAATCAGTCTCTGGAATTCTTGTAGCTCTTGTTTTCGTTTTTCTGGATTATCTTCAATGGCCTGAAATACTTTCTCTGAGAATTCTTTCAGTCCAGGGTAGTCAAAGCCACAAATGCTGATTGATAAAAACTCAATCATCTCTCCCCTGGCAAGGCTTTTGGCATTATCAAGGCATTTTGTTCTTGTTGAAAGAATAATGCGTTTATTTTTGCATGTTTGGAAGATATCCTTTGTTAATTTATCATCCTTTCTTTCATCAAAACCATCAATAACAATTAGCAAAGTAAGCTCATCCAGTAAGTACCGAAAATCTTCATCCTTGAAATCCCTACATACTTTATACAGCAAATCATGTCTGAGAAATTCTTCAAAAGTGACTGACTGAGTCCTTCTCAACTCAACAAGAATAACCAGATCATACTTTGCCAGGCCCTTAATGGCTGAGGCATTCTTGGGGTCTAGTGTCTTACACCATTCATGAATGAGGA